TTCTTATTTTTGAGTGCAAAAACAGAGCAATGATACTTTGCAATGAAAAAAAAAATGTTAAATCTCCTCTAAAACTTTTACAGCTAATATGTCTGTACAACCTACAGATTATTCATTTTCCTCGAGACTATAATCTAGTTTTCCCATACAAATACAAATCTCATGGTCCGTGTCCACGTGAGAGATTTAAAAGGCTTTCTTTATATCCTTAGGCAAAGATTTTTGTGTAGTTCTAGGAGAATTTATGCCCACAGCATCCTCTTCGGATGATATAAGAAGCCGCCAAGAAGGAGCTTCTCTGGGAGCCTGCTGGATGCATGTATGGACCTTCTCATGTCATGCTATAAAAGCTGTTGACAATGAACAGTTGTTTTACATGTTAAAAATGCTTGGAAGGAATATTTCAAGGGAACCTTTTATAGACCGAATGTTCTCCCTTCGCTTTTCTTAAGCAATGCCTAGCAGAGTCGAATCCTGTTGTGTTGTTCATTTTGCTTACAAAGTTAGCGACTTTTTTTTTCCCCCTGTGCATTTGTTTCCACTGCCACCTCCTTTCTCACAGTGACTTAGGGAAACGAATCAATGAGAGTCGAAATAGGACCCATCGGCAGCGTTGGAACACGTGTTTCTAGACTCCAGTAACTGAGACGGTAGAAAAGTTACCCACATGATATTTGGCACCTAGTTAGGTATGCCTTCCTGGAACAATCTTGAGAAAATATTTTTGCCCTGCCCTTCTTTTTCATTTCTGGCTCTTCAAAAAAAGTTTTTTTGGTGTTTTGTCATACCCAAGGGAGTACTTCGGGTAATGACTTTGTGGTATCCATCAGCATAGTGTGTCCCAGAGAGGGGCACAGCTAGCTGTAATGTTGCTTTTGATGACTACAGGCTGTGGCCCCGGCTCCCGGACGGCATGCTACTCCTTCCAAGCTCTTTCTTAACTCTTAACCTCCTTGCCGTTCTTCCTGGCCCACGACAGAGAGGAGGCACTTGGCTGACAGGCCTGTCATTTCTGGGTTTTCTTAAGCACCCATGCCAAGAGACCAGAGCCCATATCTCCATCTTCCCAGCATGCCACTTGGCCCAAATCCTTAAATAATGCATGTGGCTAAGCTGGAATCCATTTTCTATGTCCCCAGGAATGACAGTCCATTCTCTGTTTTGAGAGCCTATTCCTAGATCAGAAACTTGTGAAGATTCTCCGCCTGTTGGGAGTGGAAGGTCCACAGCTCTTACCTTCAGGCCTGTTCTCTTTTTTCCCCCCTTCCTTCCTTGTCCCTGGGATTGTCATGACCCGGAAGTGAATTGTTTCTGCAGCTTTTCATTTTTTCTGAAAGTCAGTCTGTTTCAAAGTTAAATATTGAACCTCAGGGGCACTTTGGTGGCTCCTTTGGTTGAGTGTTCAACTCTTGATTTCAGTTCAAGTCATGGTCCCAAGGTCGTCGGATGGAGCTCTGAATCGTGCTTTACATGGAGCATGGAGCCTGCCTGAGATTCTCTCTCTCTCTCTGTCCTTCCTTCCCTCTCCCCCACTCTCGTGCACACACTCTCTCTCTAAAATTAAAACATAAATAAATAAAAAAATAAGTATCATACCTCGGATTCACCAGTAATAACGAACGTGTGTGCTTCAGATGGAAGTTATGATTTCTGTCCAGAAGAAGGGTGTGGATTTGGTGGGGTGGGGGGCCAAGGAAGAGAGAGAGAGAGCCTATGAATGAAACAACATAGAAATAGTAAAAGGTTCTGATTCCTTTGGGAGGAAGGAGACAAATAGCAAAACCCTGATGTACTATATTTTATCCTTTATGTCGGCTGAGAAATTAGGGTCAGGACCCAGAAACTTTGCTCTATCTCCTGGTGTTTGTTTCAGCTCAGGTGGGGTGGGCTTCTCCTTTGATGGGTCATTTCCTTGTCTCCCTTCACATTCCAGGCTGCATTAAGATGACAAATTTCACTTATGGGCTCAGGCACAGACGTGAAAACCTGAGCTATGGAGCTAACAGGGTGAGTGCAGAGGAGTGGATTTATTGGGGGGAGAAAGGGATTGTTCCAAGAGCACAGCAGATTTGGGGAGCCCGGCCCCGCATCAGAGAGTGCACAGGATGGCCCGGACAGTACTCCCCCATCAGCCCTGGTCTGAGGCCTCATCACTTGCCCCAAGGCTGAAGACACATGTTAAAGTAATTACGAGACTTCTTTAAAGCGCACACACACACACACACACACACACACACTCCAGAATATGTTGTTCGTAGATGTGCAACTTTATTTGGACATCACCTGAAAGCAGGTTTTGCAGAAAAGATTGCGGGCGAAATATGTAGAATAAAGGCCTTGTGTTCTTTTCTATCTGTGAACTCCACAATAAATAGCTCACTTCTCCTACCCTGCCTTTAGTGAGGAGAAAAAAAAAAAATCTTGGACAGCAAAGAGCAAGTCCGTCACATCAAACATGACTGCGTTAAATACTAAAATGTTCAAAGTCCAACTGAGATAGATAAAGGCTTTGATGGAAAGTGGATATTTCCCAGGGACATTACAAGCAATAATCCAGATGTTATGCTGTAATGCAACGAGTGTCGTGGATAGATCAGGAGATCCAGCCAAGCCGCGCCTGATGTAGGCCTTAGCCTTGCCCTCCCATGCTGTTCCGCCATATGGAACCTATCTCTCGGCCCTCTTAATAACCAGCTTTGGATTCCATTTTCACAGAGCTCATAGAGCTAAGTGGGGCTGTTTTATGGACAAGTTAGATAGAAGCCTTTCCAAGATAAACATCCAATTTGAAATTAGGACATACCAAGCCACAAAATTATTTTAGGGCATATTTCATGGAAGCCCTGCCATTTTTCTTAGGCAATTGCCAGACTGGAGGATGCCCTTTGATCCCATGTGGACATTACTCCCTTCTTTATAAAAAGGATTTTGAAATAGTTGCAGTGTTTAGGGAGGAATATATCTGTCGGAACTTTGAAGCATGGCCATGGGACAGGTCATGCTTTAGCTTGTTGGTTGGCAAGTCAAACTTTAAGAAGAAAAAGGAAAAAAAAAAAGGGAATTGTAGCCGGATATATGAATCAAAATCTCATTTTCCTTTTAAAGATAGAAGTTTTCAGCCCGTGTGCTTAATAAGCTATAAAATGTACTCAGTTTATCCACATCTATATGCTCAAATATAAATTTATAAACACATACGCATATATGTTTGTATATGTGTCTGTTGGTGTACTGTGTCGGTGTGTGTTGTGTTTAATTAACATGAAATCGCTTGACTTTAATACTTTCATAAAGCTTTTTTTATTGAATATATTCTCTCCACAACCAAACTGGAAATAGAAGTTCAGAAAGAATCGTTCATGTTCTCCAGAGGAGAGGGATTTTTTTTTTCTTTTTAAAATGAATTATTTTCCCTTGCCCCCTCCCTGCTCTGTCTCGGCACCTCCAAAACTCGTGCGTGCGTGTGTGTGTGTGTGTGTGTGTGTGTGTGTGCATTTTAAGAGAAGAGCAGCGCAGATGTGAAGTTTGAGAGTGTGGACTTCCTTGAATGTGCTTTGCTTAAGGTCGTCATAAAATGATCAAATGCTTGGTGGCTTGTTGCCGCACCATTTATTAAGAGTGGTGGAGTAACATGTGTTGGATGAGGTAAGCTGGTATATAATTAATACGGTACTGACATACCATTTGTTGTGATAAATTGTGACTAACTGGTGTCCGAGCGAATTGGTGTCTGAATGATCTCGAAGATATATTGAGTAGATGACAGGAACGAATATATAGTGTTAGAAATTCATGGCTTTACTATGGTACTTTATGCCATTTACATTCTCCAGTCCATTTATTTCTCCTTCAAATACGCCCGCCTCTGCTCGTACCATTTCACGTATCGAGCGGCGAACGTAGATCAACTCCACCAACTCAATGCAGCATGCGGATCGGGTGGGGATCCTCATTCAGACAAACTAACCATAAAAAAGACACGGTGGAGACCTTCAGGGAAATGTGACTCTGTGCTGGGTGTCTAACGATATTAAGGGAATTATGGTTATTTGTGTTGAATGTGGTCACGGCAGGGTGCTTCTGTAAAAACACATATGGGTTTTGCTTTCAACTCTTTCAGCCCGAGAAAAAGAGTGAAGGGCTAGATGAAGTCGGATGGGCAAAAGGTGGAATCAGATGGATCAGCACGTGGAGATTTATATACCATGCTCTCTGCCTTTGTGCGTGTTTGGAAATTTCCATAGTGGAAATTAAAAATAAAGTGTGCGTGTCCTCTTTATAATTTAATAACCGGGGATGTTTGCTCTCCTCTACATTCTGTTTAAGGTGTGTGTGAGTGTGCATGAGTAATATAATTTAGAAAAGGAAAAAAAACAAACAAACAAGTAAAGAGTTACCCAATCTCTACTGGATCCCAGGCGCCGTGCTAAGGACGTTATACATCCTTCCCCTCCCTGCAGATCTGCAAATCGCATTTGCCTGGCTGGTTGCTTCCAGGCTGTATCTGGAGTTGTGAATCTCACTGTGGTGTTGGGCATTTTAGGAGCAGCCCAAGGAATAAAGGGAAGTGTGGACAGATTTGAGTGTGAAGGATAAATTCAAAACCGTTATTGCTAAATGCCCAGAGGTATTTTGTTTGCCTGCAAAGCAATGCCTCGCTCCTGTCTCTCTGTTCCCAGAATGCCTTTCTTCCCTTCCTTCTATTAAAATAGCTGAAGGATTCCTACCACGGAGCACATCTGGGTGGGAGGATAGGCCAGGGCCAAATCCAAGCGTTGTTCCTAATCATCCTTCACTATACTTTAGAAGTCCAGGGCTGGAGAAGGAAACCACATAACTGTGCCTGCAGGTTGGCCAAATCCTGAAGACAAGTAACACTTTCAGCAGCTAGGGAGTGCTATTCCTGATCCCCATACTGAGAGCTGGAATTTCTGTGATCACCAAAGTCACACTCAGGAATTATCAGCACGTTGATCTGTCCTCTTCTTTCTTTGCTTTAGTCCTCTTTGATACGCAACTTGCGACTCTCAGAGTCCTTGAAAAAGAACCAACTCTGGAATGGGATTATAAGTATAACCTTGTTGGAAGGGAAGAATGTATCAGGAGGAAGCATGACAGAAATGTTTGTCCAGTTAAAACTGGGAGACCAGAGGTATAAAAGTAAGGTAAGTTCTGTCAATTCCTTAAGAAGAAGCATACTTTTTGTAATAAAAGGACTGAAAAAAAAAATGTTTCCCACTCTAAATTTCACAAGAAGAGGAGAATTTTATTTTTCGCCCTCGTAACAGTGTTAGGAGCATCCCGGGCCACAAAATAATCTATAACTGAAGCCAATTGGTATACCTGTTTGGTTGCTTAGCATAATTTATTTTAATGTAGTTAACTGGTGCTAGAGAAAGCTTATGAAATAAGAGATTTGGATGCATTGATTTATTTTTGTTTTGAAAATAAGCAAGCTGTTGTTTCATAGATTGCAGGAACGGGATAACCAAATATTTTCAAAATCCTACAAAAATAATAGTGTAATATACTTATATGAAAACATTTGAGAAAAGTAAAAAGTTCTCAAAACCATCTACTTTTTGCTTTCTCTTACTTGTAGGTATTAACACCCAAAATAGACAGACATTTGATGTGGGGTTTTTTGTGGTTTTGTTTTTAAAGTATTAGTGATTTTTTTTTTTGAACAAAAGTAATGGCGTTTGTAGCCGCCTTTAAAAATCAATCATCTTCTTCTCCCGAAACAAATTCCACTTAATTTTTAATCTTAGTAATTTGGCGTGGTTTTTATTTCAAAAACCATAGTCTCCAAACCATGGTAATTAATTCGTTTTACATAACTGTCAGACAGGAATATTTCCTAAGTTTTATGGATTGGGGGAACGAGGGTACTTGAAAGTTAAGTCACTTGCCAAAAGCTACATGGAAAAAAAAAATGCAAACCAAACAAAACATTGGTAGAAGATTTTGAAAATAGACCCGAGGATATTTGCAATTCGGGCTTTCCCGTGTAGAGTCCGTTAACAGATGAAGATATGTGCAATTGGAAAATGATTTAGGGAGCAGAAGTTGGTCTCTGCTGTATACTTTTAAGTGCAAAATCAAACATTAAACATCATTTACCCCACCACAAGGAGTAAAGAATTAAAGCTCACACTGGAGAATCATTTTTGAAAAATACGAAAAATCAGAGGCGGGTTAACAGCCGAAATATGCAGGCATTTATTTTAACCAGCTAGTTTCAGGCTGTACCTTACAGTGAACGTAGCCAGAGTGAACACATCTCTCCACGAAGGTCCCTGTAGCCAGCCAGGGTCAGGCTAAGGATTTATAAGAAAAATTATTCATCGCTAAGTACGCTCAGCCCCCCCGGGGTAAGGTGAAGTGCAGAATTAGCCCAGCATTTGCTACCTGCCCCCTTGAGGAATATCACATTTAATTTGTGTGGTTGAGTTTCTTTTCTTCCGTGGTTTCTAAATTCTGTGAGCTGATATATTAAGCTCAATGTAAAAAACAGCTGAAATGATAATACGTGATGTGGGCTACAGCCGACATCCGAGTTATCCCTGATTCCCCTGGCGGTAATAGTTTGGCGCTAGGATTTCTAGAATTTCATAGTTGACTCTAGAGCCTGATAAGTCAGTGCCCGGCATTCCTGCTGATTTTTAGTCACGAATCGAATCTCGACGTAAATGAAACAAAAGCAAAAATGCTGCTAACTGATCAAACACACACGATCGGAGAACACAGAAACACTTGTGGAATTTTCACACCACCCTGCGTCATCTCGCGGTGTGGCAGCCGTGAGGCTTCTTAGTCTTTCACACTCGAGTGACCGGATTCAGGAAACTCAGACTGAAATGTGCAAGTTACGGGTTTCTCACGCAATGCATCGGACAGATGTTAATTAACACCACAAACTGCTAATTTATATACTCCTTAGGCCAGCACTGAGTGGATGCGCTAATAAAAATGTTACTTGCATCCGATTCACCAATCCGTAGTCTCTTTTGTGAGAGGGAGCAACTGTAAATGTCTACTGAGATGTGTTTTCTGTGTATATAATACCTATATAATTTATGGTTCCTGGTGGGGTAATTCCTTGTGGGGTTACTCTTTTTTAACTTGCTGGAGAAATTATTGAATCTGGGGGGTGAGCTAAGAGGGTAGCGATGTTTTGCCAATTCCAGAACCCTCAAAGTCCCTTTCGTTCCCAAACAGAAAGTTTAGCTTTCTCGGGGGGGGGGGGGGGGGGGGGGGCCC